ACATTCAGCCCGTGCCAGCCCTCCGGTGACCCTTTAAGTTACCTAAGTGACCACAAGGGAGAGGGCACAGTCAAGTCCAGACAAACTGAGAATACTGAAAGGGAGTAATGAATGGGCAGAGGGTGGGTCACAACTCACTGGAGTATCCAAGACCTTTTGACCGTTCTTGGGGTGGTAAATAAATAAATCAAGGTTGTTTCTTCACAGTGTGACCCTAAGATGGGGTCGTTAGGTACACTTGACTTGGAGGACTGGCCCTTATTTCATAAATTTTCTGATAACTTATCTTAATCCATTCAGGCTAACAAACTAAAGTGCAATAGACTGTGTGTGACTTACACAGGAGAGAAATCTGGTTCTCATTGCCCTGAGAACTGAGAATGGTAAGGTCAAGGCAGCAGTGTGCTGGTGTCTGAGGAGGGCCTGGATAATGGTCTGATCAAGGTGTGTGGTGGTTTGAAAAAAACGGCCCCCAAGGAGAGAGGCACTGATGGAAGGTGTGGCCTTCTTGGAGGAAGTGTGTCACGGTGGAGGTGGGCTTTGAGGTCTCACACATGCTCAAATCACGCCCAGTGAAACAGTTCCCTTCATGTTTTCTGCAAGATGTAGAACTCTCGGCTCCTTCTCCAGGACCATGTCTGCCTACATGCCCCCATGTCCCACCATAATGATGATGGGCTAATCCTCTGAAACGGTAATCGAGTCACCCCAATTAAATGTTTACCTTTATAAGAGTTGCCATGGTCATGGTGTCTCTTTGAAACAGTAGAAACCCTAACTGAGATAAGGTGGCATGTCACTGTTGTCTCATTACTTAGGAGACTGAGGCAGAAGGATCAGAAGTTTGACTTGGCTACAGAGCGAATTTCTTTTCTTCCCTCTGTGTTCTCTTATGGCAGCAAGGTGAGAGCTCTGGGGTTTATTAATAAGGACACTAACCCCAGTCCTCACAACTCAATGACCTCCAAAGACCGCCATCCCTCAATACCATCATGCCAGGGGTCAAAATATCAACAGATGCATTTTGAAGGGATAAAAATTTTAATCCATGCCATTTTACACCTGCCCCACCCTAGTTTATGAACTCTAGTATGCAAAATGCTTCCAATCTGCCCCAATATCTGTAAGCAGTCTTGCTCTACTGTCGCTTTAAAACACCATCTAAATAATGTGAGGGTGAATCAAGATACACGTCGCCTCCGGCTGGAGTCCTTTCCATTTGTGAAGCCACCAAGGTACACTATTTCCACACTATAATGATGGGGAGTATGAGATGGACTTTTCCATTCCAATAAGAGAAGAAATGGGAACAAGTCTAAGTACAATAGGGCAAAGTTCAAGCTTTAATTAGAATAATTTTCTTTGTCTTGACACTGTGCCCATTAGACTCAGACTGAGGCAAGACCGCCTCACTGAGATAGTGAACCTACCTCCTTAGCTTCTAGGCCTCTCTGGGATGTTGTTTTCCATGCACATTTGGGTGGCAGCATCAAACCCACAGCTCAGTGAACATCCTAGCTCTGCCACGTCTTTGCAGCTTTCCCAGGCTGGACCACTGCCTTGCAACTCTGCCATGAAGGCTTGTCCCTGTAGCTCCACTGGCTATAGTCCACCTTGCAGCTCTCTGCAAGGACTCCATCTTGGAGGTACCAGGCATGGGCATCCTGGACTGCTTGAACTGGAAAGATGGCTGCACCTACAGAAACTGTCCTGTCCCCAGCTCCCCATGGTTGCTGCAGTCTAAGGCTATAATGGGAGTCACAGGCCTAGTTACCTCTGACTCATTTTCCTATTGTCCTCCAAAATAGCTCCTGGCTTTTATCTGGATGACAGAGACCTACTACTATGTCCTTGTAACAGTCATTTGGTCACACCACTCATAGACTCTCTTTAGGTGTTTTGTGTGCTTGTTTATTAGAACACAAATAAGCTAGGGGTTTTTCTCAATCCTTATTTAGATTCTAGTTCTATCTTTAGCTCATCCCTTTCTCTTTATGGACTACTGAAAGGAGTTAGGAAGAGTCAAGCTACTCCTTCAACAAATGACTTAGAAAATTCCTTGGCTAAATATGTAGACTCATTACTTGAAAGTACTTGCAAGTTTAACCTCCCACAAAACATTAGCTCACAAACAGAGTTCAACCAGTCTCTGCCACTTTATAACAAGAATCACCCTTCCTCTAACGTGCTCATGTTCACCTGAGACTTGTCAATATGGCCTTTACCTTTCATTAACACTCCATTCAGAACCATCGACATATTATCTAATAAGAGTGTGGGCTTCTCTTCAGCTTTTTTGTTTGTTTTCTGATTGCACATATGTGTGCATGCACACACACACACACACACACACACACACACACACACACACACACTCACACAGGAGCATCTGTATGTGTCCACTCTCAGCAAACATTTTAAACTTCCCCTGGCCTGTCTTTGCCACCCATTCCCATTTTTATGTATGCGTTACAGCAGCATCCCACTCTTGGTTCCAATTTTCGTGTCAGTCCATTAGGGTAGCTGGGGGAGAAAAAAACACCATAAATGGTATGACTTATAAATACCATATATTTACTTCTCACAGTTCAAAAGACTGGGATGTGTGAGAGCAAAGAACCCCCAGATTCACTGTATGATTGAGAATCCTCTTAATGGTTCACTGATGGCCAGCTTCTTGCTGGATCCTTCCATGGGGGAAGGGTGAGGGTACTCTCTGGGTCTTTTCTAAGAACACTAATTCCATTTATGAACCAATCATCTCCAAGGGCCCCACACCCAGCCACATCACATTGGCAGTGAGAATTTCAACATGTGGATCTAAGGAAGGAGACAAACCATCACTGATAGCCCAGCTTGAGTCTTTTGAAATGGCTTCCATATTTTCTCAAACCTCAGTTTAGACACTATATAAATGTGGAACATGGAGTAGAAGGCAAAGCAGTACCTACAGAGGCATTCCAAGATTTCCGTCGTACCCCCAGACTGTCCCTTTCCCAATCCTGCCACCACCAAGGAATCTGGTGAGGTGACCATGCACTCTCTGTTGGCATCAGAAAGTGGTGGCAGTGGCGGTAAGTGTGCACCCATGAGACAGTTGTTAAGAACGTTGAGTCACTCTGCACACCAAGTCTCTGGGCACAGCCTTTGACATGGACACAGCTACCACCAGCCATCGGTAGAACCTTGAATCATTGCCTGGTAAAAAGAAAATTCTGTCTCTGTCCCAGGTCAGAGCATGACCCTGGAGATAGAGTATTCCTATAGCTCTCAGGGACTTGAATTTGCCTATAGTCTCAACTCCAGGCAACTATCTTTACAAACAGTACTTTTGATCCCTTGGAAAGTTACTAACTTTGATTATGTGGTTTGTTTCCGAGAGCACCTAGGATCTGTTGTCTTATTGTTAAAAGCCTAGCCTGATATTTTGCAAGAGATCGTTTGTGGAGGAATTTACCATTGCCTAACCTAATAGATTTAGCCTTCCATCATGACCCCACTGAGATACGCCTGGAAATGCAAACTCATGCTGGGAGAGCCTCCCAGATCCCCACATATACAGTCTATTGGTCACTGGTTCGGATGGCTTACATCTAGACCATATATCCAGTACCATAGCCACTAGCTACAGGTGACTATTTAAGTTTAAAATTTAACTGCTTAAATTTTCAACTTCACTTCAGGTCATCTGCCACACTGGGGCTTTGCTGGCCCTTAGTGCATGTGACTCCAAGTCTGCAAAGCACGAATATAAAATGATTCTTCCTGCTCAAGCTGTGAATTACTTGCTCTGTAAGGGCTTCTGTGCTCCAGTTCTCTACTAAAAGAATATGGGGACTATGTCAACTCTATAATAAGAAAAATCCCATGGTCTTATATACTGACTGTTAGGGATTATCAAGAGCCTATCTGTCTCTAAAAGGAAAAAACTCTGTCCACACCACTGGTTCCCGGGGAACCCTTGTGAAACTGGAGCTTCTGGTTCAGCAGCTCAGGATGTGGCCTGTGACTCTACTTGGTCTGCAGAACACACCCTGAGCTGGGATTGGGGTGGGGAGGGAGAGGAGGTTCCAGTGTATGAGTTGTGAAATAGGAGCTATGGTCTCATGAAGGGTCAGCCAATGGACCTCATGTGGGATGAGAGAATCTGAAGGAGTTATTGTGCTGGCTGAGCACCAGAGGAATATGACCAATCCCATTTCTTCCATGTGGGGGTGAGATTGCAGAGCAGGGATGAGCTCGAAGCGGAAAGCTGTGCTCTGGAACCACACAGCTAGATTGGATTTTTGACTCCATCACTTCCCAGCAAGGAGGCCTGAGACAACTGATAACCAGACCTTGGTCTCCCTATCTGGGAAATGGAAACAGAGCAGCTAGAAGGACTCAGCCATTGGCAGGCAGATGTAAAGTCTTAGAGCGCCGTGTAGTGGGTAAAGCGATGAGCGAAGGCAGTATACCGTTTCTGAGCAAATTAATGGGATTTATTCTAGCTGAACCCACGCATTTCTATAACCAGTGTATCACTCAACTCTAATCAGACGCTTTCCTCTCCTTTGTATATCGAAGAAGAGCAGAAGATGGGGAGCCACCTTCTTAGACAAAGGGGCGGATTCGTGAGATATCCCGGGTAATAGGTCAAGTACAAAAAGGATAGCGTCGAAACTTGGGTCTGTGACTGATGGAATGGTCCAGAAAGGCCCCATCATGGTAGGGATGGACTTCCTTCCTATCGACAACACTCACTTGCTGGGCACTTGGGTGACCCTCACAAAACATGACATCCTCACCTGCCCCCTTTCAGAAACTGTTCCGCATCTGTTACCATTAGTGTGTAAAGGTGTACACGTGGAATTTGTGTGGGGTGTGTGGTATCTGTCACCTTACACCTGAAATGGTTCTCCTTGACATATAATGGGCAAATCCTATTTATCAGGGAGAGTATGATGGCAGCTTTTGTTTGATACTGATTGTTTTTCTAACCTTCTCTTCTAACCCCAAAGCAAAGAGCCCAGCCAACAGCGAGTAAAACGGTGGGGATTCTCTTTTGATGAGATACTGAAGGACCAGGTGGGGCGGGACCAGTTCCTTCGATTCCTGGAGTCGGAATTCAGTTCAGAAAATCTCAGGTAACTCAACCATTTGAATTGTATACTTGTACTTGTGTGTGTGTGTGTTTGTGTGTGTGTGTAAATTTGCACAATTAGTCTCGCCACCCCATTTCTCAATAAAACATCATGTGGGGTTCAAATCCAAATACCAGTTTATATAGCTGAGTTTGGGATGGAGTCTTTTTAAAATGGGGTTAAATAGTTAAATGTCTTTGATAATCAAGTAAAACTACAGAAGTGTGGGTTTCAGAGTGAGGGGCAGCTCACAGTACCCCTTCCCAAAACCATGTTAGCCCTAGAGATTCTTGACCTCTTCAAGGTTAAACAGAAAGAGGGGCAACGATGGGCTCAGTTCAGAAGTTTAGCAAGCCAAGTCCCTGTTGTATAGGGACGAAACTATACAAGCCAATAAAAAAGCAAATGCTTTTCTCTTGAGAAGAATTCTGTCACTTCCGTGACTCCCCGGGCCAGCTGATGCCACTGAAAATCCCTGATTGTTTCTGTGAGCTCAGAACTAATGTCTCGTGAGGGACATGTACAAATAACTACTATTTAGTAGGAGAAAAATGAAAACATCCGAAAAACGAGCTCTGATGTGAAAGAGAGGGCTAAGTGAAAAACAAAGAGGTTCTTGGTCACAGAAAGTGAGAAGCCGGGAGGGCGGGGCTTCTTCAGCCTTCTGCTGTGTCAGAGGGAGCCCTGTGACTCACTGCAATGTGATTAGGGATGTCACTAGGTGAGACCCCTGAGTGATTGTCTTAGTCGGGCTCCTTACAAGACCGGAACTGACAGGATGCATGTGTGCCTGGGTGATCCAACAGTGGCTCTCACACACTGGAGTGGCTGAGAATCTAGTAGTTATTCAGACCCAGGCCTGGGAGATTCCTGGAGAGCTGCTGGTCTTCCATCTACATTAGCATCCTAAAGAAAGTAATTTTAATATGGATGAAGGAATGCCACAGCAGCAGAATAGATGGGTTTGTCATCAAGAGTGAGGGCAAACAGGCAAAATCCAAAGTTCCCCTTTGGCCCTTTATCTGGGCCGCCACCAGAAGGTGCCACCCGCACTTAGGTGGGTCTTCCCCCACTTCAAACATTTTGAACAAGAAAGTCCCTCACAGGAGTACCTAGTGGCTTTTCTTTTGATTCCATGTACAATCAGGTTGACAACCAAGATTAGCCATCACAGTGATCTTAACCAACTGGTGATTTCTCCACAACTGAGAACTACCTCCACAAACTCTTGTCCGCTATTTACATCAGGCTCTCTTTTACATACTAAGCTAGTTTCTGTGATCAAATGCTACTTTCTGGAATAGACTTTTATTACTTTTTGAATTTTTAAAATAAAAAAATCAGAACATATAATGTTGGAAAAGGACTGCATTCTCTTATGTTAATGGGTAAAGTCCATGTCATCAATCAGGTAATATCTATGGCAAATCTATACTACAGCAAGCCTCACTAGAGTCTACTAAGGGATACAAGACAGTCATATGTGATTTCTCCCTAGAGACATCCTTGTAGGTCCTTGAAGAAAATGCATAAGAAACAATCAAGCTATCAATTAGATTTAAGTAAGTATAGCCTCTAAAGGCATCTTGCAAGTATTTTAAGGAAGAAGGAATGGACGTCAGAGAAAGTAAGGAAATCATAAGCTTGGCTTTGAAAAATTCACAAGAGACCACTGGACCAAGTGAAAGGGAATATATTCTAAGCTGGGACACTGAATTAGCCATGGGGTGGGGGTTGCAGGATGTTTCCATGCTGGTGTTTTATGGCCCCGGATTACAGAGATTTCAGTAGACGGTGATGGAAAGTATGAGACCTAGCAGACACAGGGGTGGCCAGGAAGTAGAGAGAGACCCTGCCCTGTGGACATTCCCCTCTGCCCGCTTTCATTAAGCCCATGCCCCAGCCTATGGAGGGGGTGCTGCCCACATCCAGATGGTAGCTTCCCGGAGTTAATCCTCTCTGGAAATGAATTTGACAGACACTCCCAGATCTTTCCCAATATCCTAGACTCTTCTCAAATCAATCAAGTAGAAAATCATAAATCAAGATTAACTCTCACCAAGTGATGGTGGTGACTGTCCCAGGCCGTAGAGTCCTGGGGTGATGTGGGTACCAATGGTGTGCTTTTCTGATCAGACCCATGCCTACTATGAACCAGACAAGGTCATCTCCCTTTCAGGTTATGACCCAGTAGTTCTTCCATCACTTTTTAGAGTATTCTAACCACAGCTCATGGGTTTGCTTTGATTCTTGGCCAGGTATTTGTAACAGAAGCCATGACTTGTAACCCTCTTCATTAGGGTAACACAGAGGCCAGCCTTCCCAGGCTATGTAAGAAGCAAGCTGCTGGGCTCTCTGCGTCATCATCCCAGACTCCATCTCCAGCTGGGTCCCCATAGGTCTTTCTTACCTCTCCAATCCCTGTCGCTTTTGGGAACCAAGATGGAATGATACGGACTGTGTCCTTTGCTGGTTCCTCAGCCCACAAGTAGACTTAAGAGCCCCCTGCCACCTGAAATACTAAAGACAGTAAGAAGAGTGACCATAGGCCTGCTCACTGTGAAGGCCCCGGGGGAACCTGCTTAGCTGCTCCTGGCCCAGTCGAAAGCTGCAGTGTAGCCAAGGACCCCTTTTGCAATCAAACTAGTTTCAGGAAATATGCATGGAGTCCCAATTGCACTGAGAAGTGCGGCCCTGGCAGGTGTTCCCTCCCTTCTGCTATTTCCATTTGTGCCTCTGCCAGCAGTTTGCCTGGTGCCAGGAGGGCTACATTTAATCTTGGGTGAAAGCATGCGCATGCACCCGTGTGAATGCGCCAGCCCCCAGCATGCATGCATAAATCCAGACTTAAAGAAGGTCCCCTCTGATCCATGACAGGGAGGAGGATAAAGAAGCTAGAGCAGCAGAGGGCAAATGTACAGCCCAGGAGCTCCTGAAATCCCCTCCGGAGGCCCAGGCTCCATGCTGATGATACTCAGCGTAATTGGATACAGGGAGGAAAGTTCAGTTTTAAGTCACATGACTGGAAGACCCTTTGGTCCCTTATCATAAAATAGCTGCTTTCCTTCCCTTCTGTTCATTCCTTCAGCCTGGCTAAGCCCTCCCAGGACCCAGGTCCCAAGGACTTAGGGTTAATCTGACTCTGCCCTTTGTCCGCAGTAGCCATGCATGGCTGCCCAGGTGCCCTTCTGTCATGTCCGTGTGCATGGTGGCTCCTGGGAGCTGGGGACATGCACTGCATGAAGCTCCTAGCCATCTGTGGCTTGTCCCTTGTCCCCAGCACCAGTCCTGAGCCCAGGCTCCTGAAATCCAAGCAGAGGATGGGAAGGGAAAGACTGGGTTGATTACAAAGCGCTCTTCTGTCTTCTGGGATCTCTCCAGTATCTCTCTAGTAGAAGGAACGCCAGCAAAGTAGACAATGGGGAGAATTTATACCAGAGTTTCAGAATCAGGAAGGGAAGGTCCCAAAGTGCTGCCTAGCTCTTTCAAGTGTCCTGTGGTGACTTGGTATCACGGTGAGGCCTCTCTGATCAGCATGGGGCGGAGGAGGGCAGGGGGTGTTACATGTTCACACAGATGAGTAAGTGCATGTATGTGTATGCACATGGGTGTACACAAACAAGTGTGCAGAAACCATAGGTAGACATCAAATGTCTTTTTTGACTACTCTCCACCCTTTTTTTGTTTGTTTGTTTTTGTGGGTTTTTGTCTTTTTTTTTCTTTTTGTTTTTTAGGTTTCTTCTTTCTTTTTGAGATAGGGTTTTCTCTATGTAGCTTTGGAGCCTGTCCTAAAACTCAGTCTGTAGACCAGGCTGGCCTCAAACCCACAGAGATCTGCCTTCCTCTGCCTCCCAAGTGCTGGGATTAAAGGCGTGAGCCTTATTTTTTTTTTTTGAACATGCAGCTCATTGATTTGGTAGACTGGCCTGCCAGCAAACTCCGGGATCCTCCCGTCTCTGTATTCAGATTACATGTGTAAACACTATCACACCTGGTCTTCCATGGGTGTTAGGGATCTGAACTCAGGTCCCCACACCTGTGCAGCAAGCACTTTACTCAGCCACACTTCTGATAATTTTCCCCTGGGTAAGTCTGTGAAATGACTGAGGGTTGTCATCTATGGGGACAGGAGAAGGGACAGGTCCAACAAGACATGCTTGCTTTGCTGTCACTGTCTACGTCAGAAGCCGCTTGCCTCTTGTTCTCAGCACCAAGCCCAAGGCTGAGCTGCCTAGGTGTATGCAGTACAGGGTCAGCAGCCCGGGAGCGTCACAGTCCTGAAGCAAGCACTACAGAGCTGGCCTTATCCTTTCTCCTGTTTGGGGAATTTTCCCCAAATGGTGACAGTGCCATTTGCCCCTGCTCCATCTTTCTGTATAAACCTTTGTCCTCCCTGGCTCGACACCCTCTACGGTACAGCAGGGCATGAGTTAAAAATCAAAACCTGCAGCAAAGAGCGTCCCCCCCCCTACATTTTTTATGAGCTGTAACATCTCCTGAGAGAGCAGAGTTCTAACCTGCAGATTGATGACCCTGCCTCCATACGGTATCAGCTGGAGGCAGAAGCAATTAAAAGCAAGCTCAGGGGGTTGCCAGGTTTTGCCTCAAGAGTTCTAGCTCCGGCTTTAGCTTCAGCAGTTGCCCCAAGCCCAAGGAACACCCACAGAAGTTTCCTTAGGCCCTGTGGGGTCCCAGAGTAACCAAACGCATGCCAAATCAGAACCGAGTGACTCCACACGAGGCTGTGGCCATCTGCAGCAGTTTGGCTCCTGTCCGGTGAAGAGTTTAGCTTGGGTGGTGCTGATGCTCATGTGGGTACCTGAGCATCGCAGTCAGCCCAGACAGAGACAAGAGTCTAGTTTTGCCCATTGTTCTGAGTCACCCAATGGCCAGCAGAGGGCACAGCAACACTTCCTTCTACAGAGGAGTTCCCTTTTCTCTGGGAACCAGCTCAGGGCTGTGGTTTGTAGCCTCTGAACGTTCTGGTTTGTGAAAAGATAGGCAAGCCCGGGAGTGGGGTGCAGAGCTGCGAGGACCTCCTGATGGGATGGGAAATGGTCGATGGCTCACAGCTTCTGCTCTAGCCGGCCGGGAGTGGGGTGCAGAGCTGCGAGGACCTCCTGATGGGATGGGAAATGGTCGATGGCTCACAGCTTCTGCTCTAGCCGGCCGGGAGTGGGGTGCAGAGCTGCGAGGACCTCCTGATGGGATGGGAAATGGTCGATGGCTCACAGCTTCTGCTCTAGCCGGCCGGGAGTGGGGTGCAGAGCTGCGAGGACCTCCTGATGGGATGGGAAATGGTCGATGGCTCACAGCTTCTGCTCTAGCCGGCCGGGAGTGGGGTGCAGAGCTGCGAGGACCTCCTGATGGGATGGGAAATGGTCGATGGCTCACAGCTTCTGCTCTAGCCGGCCGGGAGTGGGGTGCAGAGCTGCGAGGACCTCCTGATGGGATGGGAAATGGTCGATGGCTCACAGCTTCTGCTCTAGCCGGCCGGGAGTGGGGTGCAGAGCTGCGAGGACCTCCTGATGGGATGGGAAATGGTCGATGGCTCACAGCTTCTGCTCTAGCCGGCCGGGAGTGGGGTGCAGAGCTGCGAGGACCTCCTGATGGGATGGGAAATGGTCGATGGCTCACAGCTTCTGCTCTAGCCGGCCGGGAGTGGGGTGCAGAGCTGCGAGGACCTCCTGATGGGATGGGAAATGGTCGATGGCTCACAGCTTCTGCTCTAGCCGGCCGGGAGGAGAAAATCCCATTGCTTGTCAACACCCATGGGAAAGGGGGACAAGTGATCATCCCTGGATTCGCCCCCCCTCCCCGGTCCTGTGGGCAAGTTTCCCCCTCTGCATTCATTTCTAAGCCATTAGCAGATCAAATGCCAGCACACAGCTGCCTCTTACTGCTCTGACGATTGGCAGCGGCTAGGGGAGAGGAAGGCCAGGTGGTCTTTGCACACCCTGGAGCCCCTGTGCCCTGCCAGTCCCTGAGGCTCCGTGCTTTCAGACTAGGGCTTAGTGCAGGTTGGTTGCCTTTGGTGCAGCTGCTGGCATTTGACGCCTAACCGCTTCCTCGAAGGAATGGTACCTGCAGGCTTTTGATAAGAGCGGCCATTTCTCTGTCCTCAGTGGGCCACCCATCCACAAGAGAATATGTAGAGAGCTTTTTGTGGCTCTTTGGGTGACAGTGGGGGCGGGGGGTGTCCTGAGCTCCCAGTTCAGCCCAGACCATTGGAGCAGGAAGACGGCACGCACAGACAGGCTGTTCTGAATTTCAAATTGCCACAAAGGTTCCTCCGAGCCAAGATGGTAAATACACCTGAGATGTCAGGATGCTGTTGTGACAGGAGGGACAAGGTAGGTCGTCTCCAAGGCAGACAGAAGGCCGGGCTGAGTCCTGTGTCCACAGGAAGGGAAAGCTGTCGAGGGAATGTCACTCTCACACACTGTGTGCCCCTCCTCTCCTCCTTCCCCCCTCCCCTCTCCACCTCCCACATGACATGTCTGCTGTTTTTCCTTGTGCTTTTAAAACCATTCTCAGTTTTAATCGATGGAGGGAATCTCTTGTTTCTGTTAGTCTGTTTTCGATGTAAAAATGTGTCCAGTTTGATTCTGAAATTTGCGTTGACACCCACTCTGCTCCTGGGGACTCAAATTAGAGATGTGCATTGTTCCTTATGTCACTCTGCAAAAGGGACCCTGAAGCTCCCTGGAACCACAGGGAACCGCAGGGCTTAGAAGCTTCAGAGGTCCTGGGGCCTCCCCACACCTTTCTGCATGGCTCCCATACAGCAGGCTAGTCTAGCAAGGGACAGGGATGGCAGAAGGTGACTTCCCAGGACACAATGATGAAGAGGCAGGAAAAAACCACCCGAGTACCATCTATGCAGATGAGATGTCACAGAGGCCTCACAGGCGCGGGATATTGCTGACCTGAGAGGCTGTCTGAAGTCAGAGCCTTGGTCCAGAGGTCCCTCCCTGCCTCTGCATTGGCCCAGTAGGTACCATAAAGCTCTGCAGACTCCTCTCCCTGGAGGCCAGAAGGACATGAGCACCAAGGAAGGCGGACGTTGAAAAGCGGGAAATGATACAAGACATCAGCAAGAGGCCTGGCAGCATCTTCTCCGACCACCGCTGGAGACAGAGCTGGCACTGGGAGCTACCGGTTGGCCTGGCACCTGGCTGTTCCTTGGCCCACACCCAGAAGCCTGGAAACATTCCCGAGTTAACTCTGGCTGGGAAATCGTTCAGAAATTTGCTATATCTCCCTTCACCCATTTTGTACCCATTTCCCAGATGATAAAAGACTACCTGGGAAGGAGCAATTCCTGACTGGGAACAGAACCAGATTCCCAGTTCTCCATATGGAGGGATGGTCTCATCATCTCTTCAGATCCGGAGAGAAGGGGTTTCTTTAGTTCCAAGACAGCCAGGGCTAGCTATACAGAGAAACACTATCGCAAAGAAAAAATTGAGAGAGAGGGAGAGAGAGAAAAGGAGAGAGGGGGAGAGAGAGAGAGAGGGACAGAGAGAGAGAGAGAGAGAGAGAGAGAGACAGCAAGACAGAGAGAGGGGGAGGAGAGCGCATTAGATTCCTAAAGGGCAAACCAGGAAAGTTGGAGCTTAACTATCTGAAAACAAGCACACAATCCCAACTATTCCTTTCGAAAATTTGTCTGCAGTACTTGGATCTGCCACTGGGTGGTGCCTTTGAGCCACACATTTGACTTCAATAACATTTCCGAGAGCAGCAGAAAAAACTTGCTAACCCTTTAAAAATAATAACAACAACAAAAAGTACATCTTACTCTGGGTGAAATTCGATGTCAGGTTGAGTGTACTTTCTACCTTGTGGTTCATCTGTGTGCATCCTCTCCATTCATTGACAAGATTGTGTGTTCCGTTGCCAGCGGCTGTGCAACCCATACAGCATGGAACCTGCTGTATCTTACTGAGGACACGAGCCTGTCCCCTTTGCAGGGAGAATGTGTTACCCAGTGCTAGGTCCCTGTGATAGGATGCCCTGGGACCATCCTCGGGGCCTGGGAGCTGCTTTGGCTCTGGTAACTGCAGCTCTCTGCAGAGCAGTGCTCATATGGGGCTTGTCAATAGTTGTTCCAGGCAGATGCTAAGGGATTATGCAGAGGTGACAGGAAGTGAGGGAAGATACTTTTCTCTGATGTTCTCTATAGACTCTTTGGTAGAGGTGTCCCTTCAGCTATGTTTCAGACAAACCCTCTATAAACTTTGTGGAATAGCTACTAAGCGCCTAGCACCACACTGTGTTGCATAATGAATACCTACTAAGTGTCCTGCACTATGTTGAGTACTGAATACCTACCTACTAAGTGCCCCAGCACCATGTTAAGTACTGAATACCTACTAAGTGCCCAGTACCATGTAGTGTACCAAATACCTACTAAGTGCCCAGCACCATGTTGAGTACTGAATACCTACAAAGTGCCCAGCACCACACTGTGTTGAGTACTGATGTGAATGGTCCTATTTGTTCCACTCTGGCATGAATGGCTGATTCATTCCAGACCAAATAGCTTTTATAATTCCGAGGTTCTGCCTGCTTTTGTGACATGTCCCTTTTTAAATTTTATTTTATTAATTCTAGCCATGTGCATGTGTACACACCTGCTTGTCTGTGTGTGCGCCAAAAGTACTCGTACCAGTGGAGGCCAGAAGAGGGAACTGGATCCCTAGAACTAGAGTGACAGGCAGTTGTGAGCTGCCCAGTGTGGATGCTGGGAACCGAACCCAGGTCCTCTGCAAGAGCAGCGAGTGCTTCTAACTGCAGAGGCACCACTCTAGGCGCCTTTCCCTTATTTTGATGTCCCCAAGCGACCCCAGCCTGATGTGACAGAAACTTGAATGAACAGCAGTTGTTCTTTTCAACCAGGCAGAATCTGTACTCCCCACGAACAGTTGGTAACGTCTAAAGACACTTGCTAGTTGCTGTAGCTTAAGGGATGCCGATGGTGTCTAAGGGGCTGGAGGTAAGTGGCTGCTTAGCGTTCTACAAGACAGCCCTTCCACACCGAACAGGAATTCCCCAGTCCGAATGGCTAGCATGCTGGGGTTGAAAAATCTCTACGCAGAGGGGAAAGAGCTACTGTGGTCTCTGGAAGCTCATCTTCTCATATGTGCTTCTTTTTCTGTGTCCTCAACAACACACCCTGTGCTTGTTTGCAGTCCCCACGGAACTCATATGTGGCAGCAAGGCAGGCATGGGGATGCAGTCCACTCTGGGACCATCTCCAGCAGGGTCCAGCTAGAACCCACCGTGTTTCTGCTTTCACTCCAGGTTCTGGTTGGCTGTCCAAGATCTCAAGAAGCAGCCTCTGCAGGACGTGGCCAAGAGGGTGGAGGAAATCTGGCAAGAGTTTCTAGCTCCAGGAGCCCCGAGCGCAATCAACCTGGATTCTCACAGTTATGAGATAACCAGTCAGAATGTCAAAGATGGAGGGAGATACACATTCGAAGATGCCCAGGTTTGCTCAGTGACCCAAATCATCGTGTCATAATGTGGTCTTTAACCACCTCACAACTGATCCTTTGACACACACATATCAGAGGTTTTATGAGTAGTTAGAATATCAGCTTTTGCGGGACGTAGGTCGAGCTCGCCTTTAATCCCAGCACTCGGGAATCTCTGTGAGTTCAAGGCCAGCAGGGTCTATAGAGCGAGTTCCAAAACAGCCTCCAAAACAATACAGAGAAATCCTGTCTCGAAAAACCAAAAAATATATATCAGCTCTTACTCTTTGTCAGTCAAGGCTATTCCAGCTATTCCAGATAAGTACAAAGTAGTGAAATTCTGAGATCTTTCTCTCTCCTAGGTTGAATAACTACACAGAAAGTTGCCGTTCTCTAACTTAGAATGCTAGATGGGATTGCACCCTGGTAAACCTGTCATAAGTTGAAACGCTCTATTAAAATGCACTCAATACACATCAGAGTTTACCATTCTCACAATGCTGTGAGGGACTGGTCCTTTGCCTCGGGAACACAGGCTGACTGGGAGCTTCAGCTCACTCACTTCCCAGCATCTAGAAAGAGGATCACACCAAACAACACTAATCAGAGAAAGATCCAGATCTTCAATAGAGCTTCTATTGAGGGTTCGCTGCTTATGCACCATTGTAAAGTCATGAATTGTAAGTCAAACCACTATGTGTTGTGGAGCCGTTTTTATTTGCCTTATCTTTTCCAGGAAAAAATATTGTACAAAATTCAAACTCTTATACAAGGTCAACCATAGATTCAGGAAAACAATGCAACTTCACTAAAGTAGGAATTGTGAGCTGGCTGGGTCAAGAGTCAAGCCCACCCTGGTTCAACTGTGATGTCCACACTCTGCATTGCTTCCATGGTGACTACCCCCATGCAGTTAGTATTTGCTGAGCAGCTCCGTATTCCAGGCCCCGGATAATGATGAGACACCACAAAGAACAGATGAAAGCCCCGTGTCCTCAGCCAGGCCGGGGCCAGGTGAGAGACAGACAAATAAGTAGGCCATTTTAGCAGTGTGAGAAGACCCCAAAGGAGTAGGTTCTAGGGTTTAATGAAGACCACAGGAAGGTCTCAGCCCCGCAGAGAACCGCTGGGATGCTCATCAATGCTATAGGCAGAGGGATGAGAGAAGCTTGCCCTGCCATGGGTATCCTAACTCATTTATAGTCTATGCAGTTACATCACTGCAATCAATGACATGAGGCTATTGCCCAGTGTCCCTTGTCATTTGCTCAAGATTTCAGACTAAAAGTTACTATCTTGTGCATCTTCTCTCCCCATCATAGACTCTACTGAATGAATGCCGGTGCTGGGCAGATTTGGTTCCAAAGCACTCAGTCACCTCCCTGGGACAACATGAAGTCCTTGTGCTCTTTGTAGTTTTGGAGGAAAACCCCTAAATCATGAGGACTCTTTTTTCCCCCTGGCATAGTTTTGGATATGTATATCCCCCCAAGGACAATATTGGTGTGACTCAGTAAGGAGGGGTGGAGATGTTCTCTGGGGACCCCTGTGCAGATGGCCTGAAACACAGAAGCCATCATGAGACACTGATGTCGAGGCATGATGCTCCCAGTCTGCGTTGCTCCAAGCACAGCACAGGGAGGATTTGCCTTAGCATTTTCTCATGGGAACTCTTGAAAACAATCCAGGGAAAGAGCAGAAACACAAACCTTCAGGAGCCTTCATCCAAGCTCTACCGTCATTGGTACATGACTCCTTTGAGCTGTATCCCCTACTCCATCTTTTTAACATTGCCACAAGACCATTATCACAATTTAGTAAGATGTCAATAACTCCTTAATGCCATCAGGCAAGTGTATGTGCTTTTAATAGTCCCGTAAATGATTTTTGAAACACCATTTTAAATCAGATTCCAAATAAGCGCTGCACAGTGCTGGAGACCAACATGGGTGTTCGTTAATTATACTTTATCTTTCTCTCTCCCCTCCCCCACACCTGTGCATATTGAATGAAGTTAGATGTTTCATCCTATGAAAGTTCCCCTGGGGATCTTTCCAGTGATAGTCCTGTGGTGCTACAACAACATGCTCTCCTGTCACCCATATTTCCCATCAATCAAAGTGTTTGACTTTGATATTTAGCCAAATTTAGCTTTGACTTTTGTGGACTTCATTTGCTATACTGTCAGGAAGCATAAATCTCCCTGTCTCGTGTGTGTGTGTGTGTGTGTGTGTGTGTGTGTGTGTGTGTGTGTGTGTGTGATTTTAATCACATTCGGTGTTTGTTGCTGAAGTCCACTCATTAATTAGGGTTATGAAATAGTGATGTTCTCATTTTCTCTCTTGTTGAGAGATGTCATTCTGTAAATATGTGTCTGCTTGGTTTGAATAAAGCACTGTTGGCCAATAGAGAAGCAAGATAGGTGGGACTAGGAGTCGAGGAGGATTCTGGGAAAGAGTGGCACAGTCAATCACAATGTAGGCTGCCAGAGGAGTAAGAGGTCTGGACCCTTTTCTCCGGTAAGAGAAATACTTAGATTATCAATTACAGGTTAACAATTAAGTCAGAACTAGCTGATAAGAAATCATAGCAAATGACCAACAGCTTTTATAATTAATATAGTGTCTTGTGTGTTATTTGGGGGCTGAAAGTGGCAATAGGACCCAGGCAGGGATCCCACAACAATATGGCGCCCAACATGGAGAATGACATCTCTCAACACTTTCTCTACTTGTTGATGGTCTGCAAGGCTTCCGAAAGCAGGGATGCCTCTTAACTCCTAGTTAATTAACTAGTTAGTATTGCCGTTCGTGTAGGAAGAGTAGAAGAATATTTGACTCTTCCTCTTTGTTGCTAGTTTCCAACATAGTGAGTGGTTTGGCATCATCTTCATTTGGTGGCTGACTGGAATTTTTGTTTTGTTTTCAGTGTCTTTTAAATTCATGAATTGAAACACATTTGATATGTTTTATGATCTATTTCCGTGATTATTTTTATTGATGCATGGCTTTTACCATGTCTAGTCAGTTGATTCCTTCTGATGTGACCCCATTAATCTTTAAAGTCATTCAAATAGCACTGAGCTTCCATGGTTCTGGGCACTGTCCTTGACCTAGAAAAAGCTTTGTCTCTAAGGACCCCCAGTTCTTCTTGGTAGCAAATGGTTCCTAGGGGCCACATTGTGGGTACTCAGTGCTCATGGTTACCAAGTTGTTAGTCTTTCCTCAATATTTTTGGTGGAAAGAGCTAGGAAATATATTGTAATTTGTAATAAGGACACATTTGTCTGGGCACACCTGTATTTCCAACAATTGGGAGGCTGAAGCAGGGAGATAACTAATAGTTTGAGGCCAGCCCACACACCACCACCTCGTGTGTGTGTGTGTGTGTGTGTGTGTGTGTGTGTGTGTGTGTGTGTAGAAAGAGAGATCACAAGTTCATGTTAACACTTTCAGAGATTAGAATTTTAGAATTACAGGGGCTTCTCCTCAATCTCTTCTTGCTTCCCTCCTTCCTCAGTGCTCAGAGTCTGGTCCTCAAGAACTCACAGATGAAGTGTGATTACTCATCTGCTTCATGCTACATTTCTGCAGAGCATCTGAGGTCCAGACAATGCGATCACTGCCTGTTTCTTTAACCGTTGCATAGTTTTCCGTGGTATGGAGGCACCATAGTTTGCTCAACCACTCTTCTCCTCCTAGATGCTTGTGTTCTTCTTTATTCAAAGAGGATTTGATGAGAGAACCTGAAAAATAAATATATTATGCCTTGGTAAGATATTGAATACCCAGCCTTCATTAGTACAGTTCTATGTGATTTTTCAGGTACTTCAGAACATGTTATGTCCCAGGCAAGCCTGTGAGGAAGACATATCTAAACCTAACTTCTATAAGTTTAAATAAAGCTCTCTTCCTACACCAGTTCCCCTCCCTAGCCTCTTCCCTGTTGCTCTGCAAGTATGTTTCTACATACATACAGTCTCCCTAACAGCCTGACATTGGGAATGTCACCTAATGCCCTAGAGAGCTTTATGTCAACTTGACACAAGCTAGAACCGTTGGGAAGAGGGAACCTCAATTGAGAAAATGCCCTACCAGGTAGACCTGTGGGAACATTTTTTTTGATTGATGATTGATGTGGGAGGACCTAGCCCATTGTGGGTGGGGTCACCTGAGGCAGATGAATCTGGGGTGTATGAGGAAGCAGGCCAGTAAGCCACACAGCTCCATTGGTTTCCCACCTCCAGGTTCCTGTCCTGGCTTCCTTCAGGGCAACCTGAGAGTTGTGAGCTGAAATAAACCCTTTCCTCCCCCAAGTTATTTCAGTCACAGTGTTTTATCACAACAATAGAAATAGTAACTGAGACACCTAAATCCCCTAAGTCTTCCTTCCCTCTTCTGCAGAGCAGAGATATAGCAGAACTTCAACCTCAGGTGAGAGGTGACAAAATGAAAAAGGCAGGGGACCATAGTGACTGGCCCACAGAAATAAGGAAAGAAAGCATTTACTATGTTGTTTTCCTAATGGCATTAATGTGTTTTAGCCTTTTAGGCTGAGCACATCTGACAAACATTTCAGGTATTTTCATATGTTAGCACACAGAGATAGATAGCCCCTATTTCAGTATACAGATGTTTCTTAACTTATTATGGGTTATGCTCCCTCTCAGTTATGGTAGGTTAAACATATCATTAAGTCAAAGGATTCCTTTAGTACACTTGACGGACCCAGTGTTCGGCTGAGCACCATGGAGGCATGGAGAGCCCTGGTGAGCATTCGGTTTTTCCCTCTTGGGCTCCTGTAGCTGCACTCTAGCTATAGTTTATGCCACTGCTACCCAGCATTGGGAAAGGGAACTTGCCATGTAGCCAGCCTGGGAGAAGATCAAAGCTCAGCATATAGTTTGTATGAGATTCATGTAGCTTTCACACAACTTTGAAGTGGAAAAACTGTAAGTCAAATTATCCCTTATAGCCACCTGCTATCATGTAGGAGATACCTGCCCTTCCTTTCT